CCTTTAAATTACCCTGCTCCTTGCTCTCCCCCCTCCTCACAGATGCTGCCAGCCATCTTTTTGAGGGGGGGAAAAAAAAGGCCGCTGCACCTTTAAATTACCACGCTCCTCGCTCCCCCTGCCCTCGCAGATGCATCCATCTGAGGAAAACAGAAAATACCAGACTGGTTTTTTTTTACTGGACGGAGAGCCAAAATACCGAACTGTCCAGGCGAAAACCGGACACATGGCAGCCCTAACCAGAATCCAGCCAGTGACCTGATCCCAGCCACAAGGAGGCAGCCCCTGCGGCTTTATTTAAAATTCATAAACCAAACTTCCTCTGAGAGCTCTGGAGCCTCCAGCTCCATCCCAAGAGGGAGTGCATTTTCCGTTGGTTATGGGAGGGAAATGTGAGGGCTATGCCGCAGGACCAGGAAGGACAACCAGCTTCATCAGTGGGAGGAGCAATTCTGCCTCCAACTCCTTCCTAGAAAGGGTGAGAAGTTAGGGAAGTGGTGAGAAGAGAAAGGAAAAGGAGGGAATATAGTCTGGTAGTTAGAACCGGGAGTCTGCCTTTCTGGCTCTACTGCTGAGACCTCGGCCCACTTACTTGCCTGCTCCATTCCTCAGACGATCTGTCAAAACAATCACATCACCTTCTTTCACCCAGGCATTTGAAATGTTCTCCTGCAAAGTGCTAGGTAAGTGCAACTTGTTATTAAAAAGAAGGAGGAGAAGAAAGGGAAGCCGCTGAAAATGCGTTAAGACATGAGGAAGAAACCAAGGATGGGAGAGAGAAAGAAAAAAAAACAACAGAAGGAGTATAACAAAGATCAAGAGGGAGAGACTTTGAGGAAGGAGGAGAAATCATGCTGAGTTTGCAATAGCACACAAAAGCCAGGGAGAGTCCAGAGGCTTGCAGCGTGGTTCTCTAAAAATAACACCTTCTTCCTCCGAAATGCTGCCCCATGTGGTGTTAATTCAGCATTGTTCTGGCTTTATTGTGCCAGCATTAAAACCAGTGGGTTTTAAATGCCATCAAATGAGAGCAGCAGCATTTCACCCCCACTCGCTTTGCACACGTGTAAACGACGGGATCGGTTGCACTGTAATTGTGAACCTGTATAGTCACACTCCAGTTTGTTGACTTCTCTTTGCTCCTGGGAACTCCACCGAAGCCATACTGCTTTGGGTGGGTGTGAGCTGGAGTCGAGCATGGTTCAGTAGCTCTAATTGTTGGATCTGAGTAAGAAGGAAAGAGTCCAGCCTGTCTCTCAGAATTTGCAGGGCTGGCTGGTAGGAAGCTAACAGCAGCATTATCCTTGTATGCCAAGTAGATTTGATCTGCAGTCACAGAGATACAAACAATTTGGAGCCTTCTGATCAGAGCTGTGAGAAATCCGCCTTTCACATGAAACTTTTTTTTTGAAAGGCAGATATTGTGATACTGCAACAAGTCACAACTTTATGTCAATTTCACGGAATTATCCATTTGGACAACAAAACAAAACAACAACTAAATGAAACACTTGGGTGAGTTTGGTTTTTTAACAACTTTTTTGTTGCAAAACATCCTTGTATTTGCTAGCGAACCTGCTGAGACCGTTAAACAATAGGAAAAAATCAAAATGAAACAGTTGTTTCCAAACAAAACACGATGTTAGCCCAGAAATGATTTTGTTTCCTTTGGCTTTTCCAGTTTGTCAATGAACCCAAAACAAAACAACAACCACCACCACCCATTATTCACCCAGATGTGCTCTTGATGCCAGTTTCACAGTGTCACTTTTCAGCATTTAACCTCTCTTCAGATTAGACCCAGTTCCAGTGAGTGGTGATTTTTATGTGCATTTTCTCATGCAGTCGTCTGTAGGAGTTAATATCACATACATTTAGAAATACATTGTTCCCCACGAAGCAGAGAAACCAAACTCCCTTTCTTAACCCACAAATCTTAAGCCACTTATGTATGAGGGCAGATAAATTAAGGTGGCCCAGGAGATCCTATTTTCTCACGAACACAGTAAACTCGGCGGTGTTTAGTGGGACAAGTTTTCAAAGGCTCTTCACCCATAATCGGGGATGTATTTGCCACAGAGCCCAATGTGCGGAGCTGTTCTGAGAATCTGGCCCCTTTCCTGTTAACATGTGTGCTGAGATGTGTGGCTATGCTGACTTGACCACCCGGCTCATGGGGTTTCATCCAGTGCACAGGAAGGAACAGTCGTGACACTAGGGCAGTCAGGCGAAGCTCCCGTCTGAGAACCGACGGCTCCTCCGCCTTAGGGCTGGCCGGCGCGTACATGCCTCTCCCCGCATGCAGCATCGGGAAGCACGCGATGCAGATGTGCTGAGATCGGGAGAGACACGGGAGGGAGGCGGGGAGAGCGTGGTATGTGCACATTCCCACTCCCCTCTTGTCAGCCTGAGGGACAAAAGCATGCACTGTGCTACTGACAGCAGCCCCCGGCGCCGCTGGAGAAATCTGGTCCCCATTAGTGTCCCTGGCAGAGTGCATTACCCCAGCTGGCACGCCGGCCAGCCAAGGGGGGAGCTCGGGAGCGGCCAGCAGTCGCTAATTAGCACCACAAGTGAGGCCGTGAGGTGGGGAAGGCAAAGGGCTTTGTCCTGCTCCCCCCAACACCCTGTTCCTGGTTGCCAAGGTTACAGTTTGGGGGCTAAAGGCCTGATCCAGGGCCCAATGGACGGGCTCCCATTTATGTTAATGGACTTTGGAGGAGCCCCCCCCCCCGGAACAGGCTCAGAAGGGTCCTTTTCCACCTCTCCCCAACCAGGTTCTGTTCAGCCACAGACTGTACCCTGCTTCTGGCTGCACCACTGGAAAAGGGGATTGGGTTGGGTTGCAGGCTGTTCGCTCACACGGCTCGCACCGCCAGCCTGCCCAGACTGTGCCCGGCTGCAAAGTCCACTGTGGCCACAAGGCGCCTTGCCACTGGCGTCAGTCGGCTTTGGATCAGGCCCAAGGTGCGCTTGTCGCCTTTCGCTATGCCAGGCTCCGTGCTGCATTAGGTGTCCCTGTGAAAAATAAGCTGGTTCAGTGAGATCTGATCCCCAGAGCGCAAAAGCAGCATGTCTCACGCTGGCCAGCTGGCCCCTTTGGCTTAGGATCCCGTACCCCAGCCCCGAGATGAGCTTAGACCCCCCCTTAGGTTTTACTGCAGTGGTTCCCAAACTTTTCAGCATCACACCCCCTTTTCGATTTTTGAGACCCCTCCCTCCCCCAAAAAAATAGCAGCAAAACTTGTTGAGCAAAAGAAAGAAAGAAAGAAAGAAAGAAAGAAAGAAAGAAAGAAAGAAACTGCCTGGGGCTGAAAAACAAAAATAGCAGCAAAACTTGTTTTGCCTTGGTGAGAGTAGCTTGGTCGTCTCAAGCCCCCCCCAGAATTTCTTCATGCCCCCCCAGGGGAGCACACCCCCCAGTTTGGGAACCCTTACTGCATTTCCCTATAGGCAGAGATTGCCAAGGGCTATCCAAGCAGGGAAAGCTGTGATGGATTCCGTCGGGAGAACTCTCCCCTCTCAATGATCCACTGTTCCTCTCCAGGTACTGGGGGTACTGGAGGGACAGTCTTCCAGCATGCTTGTGGTCTTCACCAGGCCTTCCCGTGAAAACTTAGGGTGTTAACCCAATTCCAGGTTGCCAACTTTTGCAATGTCACTGGCAGCCTTGCAACCTTCTCGGCTTTTCTTCAAGCCTCAGGTCCTGGAATCCCGTGACTCCACCAGACGTTCAGCTTGCAGTCTTTAAAAGACACTTTCTAGCCCTTGGGCCTGTCGAGAAAAGCTGGAAAAGGGGGGGAAAACCTCAGACCCCGGAAGGCGACCAAAAGAACCCCCAAACGTGCCACTGAAAACTCACGGGTTTTACGCTGATCTCGTGACATTTTGGGGCCTGGCCGATGCTTTTGGAACGCTCGGCGTGGCCAATCCTGGTCTCTCTTGCCTCCCCGAGCTCCCTTTGCAGCTGTTGGAGTTGCAGCCGCAGTTCTTGGCTTCCCCTCCTTAACAAGACCCAGTTGTAGGACAGAGCACAGAGCAGCTGTTGTGTTCCAGATTCAGAGGCAAGCAAAGCAGAGGAGGCACGGAGCCTGCAGAGCGGATTGCGGGTGCGGAGGTGGGGGGAGATGGTGTGGAAAGGGGAGGTAAAACCAGTTCTGGGTGGCAGCTCCGAACCGTACCGAAGGCAGATCTGAAGGAACAAACCCTGGGAGTGTTGGATAGGCCCATGGGGATGAACCCTAGAAGAGATCTGAGCCAGCTTCCGTCTCAGTATCCTGTCTTCAAGTGGGGGACAAAGACCAGCAGTTCTTTGCTCTGGCGGTTCTCCCTTATTACCCCTAGTGTGATACCCAGAGGGAGAACACCCAGCGGGCATTGCTGATACGGCTGTCAGGTGTCCAGTATTTGCGCTCTTTGTCCAGTAAAAAAAAATCAGAGAATACTGGACATGTGCAATGTCCAGTATTCTGATTTTTCCAGCTGCGCAGCGGATGGAAGCCTGGCGTGGGCGGGGAGAGCAGCTGGAAGGCGGGGCCACAATCAGCGTTAGGAGCCTGTGATTGCGCAGAAGCCTGTCGGGGACGGGGGAAGTGGTTAGGACTCCCAGCCACTCCCCCAGCTCCGGCTAGGCTTCTGAAGTGCCCAGAGCGGTGATCATGACCCCGCCTCCCAGCCTGAGAGTCCCAGCTGGGAGGGGGGGTTGCGATCGCCGCTTATCCCGTGTTCCTTTTTTTTCTTTTTCTTTGCTCGACCACAAAATACCAAAAATATTTTTTGGGAGACCATCTGGCAACCCTAACTGCTGAGAGAACGAGGAGGATACACTCCCTGCCTCACTCGGTCCCTGACCCCATCCGAAGCCCCGACAGAGCCACTGCTGAAAGGCAAGCCTCGGCCAGTGGGGGCTAAAGTCATCCTGGGGGCCCTTTGCCGGGATCCAGGCCCTAGCCCCCTGGGGCCACCCTAGGCTGAGCACACGACACAGCAGCCTTCGGGGTCGGAAATGCAGGAAGGTCTTTATTTACAGTAACAAATCAGAGAAAACTGCACTGCGCCCCACCCTGGCAGGCGCGTTTACACCCTGCCCCGCAGTCACGCTCTGTGGTGGACGGGCCAAGCAGGCTGGGCGGGGGTAGAGGGGATAGAGAGCCCAAAGTCACTGCCTGTGCCACTGCCGCTGTGGAGGACCTCCTGGCAGATGCAGCATCCAACAGCCACCTTTGAGTCACGCCCAGGCAGCGCTGGCCTCCCCCGGTCAGTGGGAGAGAAGGCGTTTCTCAGCCGGGGAGTCTGGAATCGCCTCTCCCCACCAGCCTGTGCAGGGACACACAGCCGCTCTGCGGAGAAGGGGGTCCTTTGTCAGCCGCTTGCAGGGGAAGTTAAGGAAAAGGCTCCGTGCACGAGCGTGTGCGCGAACGCACGTGTGTGCACGCTCACATGTAAGAGCCTGAGTCCTGGGGCTACAAGAGAGCGTGGCTGGCAGAGTTTAGAGCACTTGCCTGCCTCCCTCAGCACCGAGAAGGCGGGCGGGGGGAGGCTGCTTCCAACAGCAAAGGGAGGCCGAGGCGTTCCATCTCTAACCCCATCCGCCCCCCTCAAGCTCACCGTCCCCACCTCCCCAGCACCACCGTTTCCTGTCCGGAGTGGGATGCTGAGGCCGGTGCGTGTTTTGTGCCATTTCCACGGCGCAGGCTGTGTCATTCGGACACGCTGGGCCCCATTGGCTGAGGTTGCGGGGTGTGAGGTTAGCCAGAGCGGGGGGACTCTGTGAAAACAGGTCTGTGTACCTGGGTGCTGGCAGGCCAGATGCGACCCCGCCCTGCCTCCGTGGGCTCATGATACCGGGCTGCTGAGCAGGGGACCCTGGCCTGCTCCTTCGAGTTGCCTAGGACCCTAGCGAGCGGCACCAAGCCTTTGCTGTAGGTGGGAACTAGCAGCAAGGAAGCTCCTAGGAAGCTGCCCTCAGCAGGCACCAGCCAAGGGGCACTCGCGCCGTTACCCCGCTCCAGCCGTCAGCCAGCGGGGCGCTGGGCCAGCCAGCTCTGGGAGAGCACCACCTGCGGAGTCCTCGGACGGCAGGGGCTCGGGGCGGGTCCGAGCGTCGCCCGGCGAGGCAGTTCAGGGCTTCTGCGTGGCCGCCAGGCGCGGCGTAAGACTTGACTCCTGCTCTCGGCTCAGATGGCAGGAAGCTGCTGTCTCAATCCCTGCGCCAGGTGCGCGGGGGGTGGGGTGTCACCTAGTCTTGGAGGCCGGACAGCACCGGGGGAGGTAGTGAGGAGGGAACTCCTATCTGCGGGCGCTTTCCAGCCTCAGGCTGTCTTTGGTCTCCCTCACGGCTCTTTTTCCTGCCTCCCCCGTGGCCTTCTCTAACGTTGGCTCAGGAAAGCGGCAGGACCCTCCGAACACACGACGTGGGGCAGGCCGAAGTGGTTCCCAGAAGCATGATCGCCACAGGGGAGGCGGGACCGGGGGAGGGGCCCCCCAATTCCAGGCCCCCCTCCTTCTTCCACCGCCCCCTCGAGTTTCTGCCCATCTCCCCTCAGGAGGAGAAGCACAGGCCGCAGCACTCCATGCAGATCTCCAGGCAGTCGGCCGACTCGCAGCAGGCGTCCACGATGCCGCAGTCCATGTCGCAGGGCAGGTCGCAGTCGGCGCACTCCCCCGAGCCGCAACAGCAGCAGCAGATGCAGGAGTCCTCGGAGCTGCAGGAGCTGCAGGTGGCGCAGTCCAGCACGATGTTGCAGAGGGTCAGGAACTCGCAGAAGAGGCAGGAGAGGATGCAGTGGACGCAGCAGTCTGAGCAGAGGGAGGCGCAGGAGAGGGAGGGGACAGAAATGAAGGGGACTGTTAATCATGGACACCAGCAGGACACCATCCCAGGTGTGATGGTAACGGTCCCAACAGGCATTGTTTTTTTTTCCCCAGGTTTAACCCTATAGATCCCAGTTCCCATCAAGACCACCACCCACAGCCAGAGATCTGAGACCAGATCGGGCTGCTGTGCCCACGGTGGCTGGTTATGGGGCCTTTGGTGTCGGCAGACACAGGCTGAGGCCCGTGAATGGCACGACAGGGCCAACCTGAGCTGCCTTGGGAGCTCAGAGACCCCATGGACTCCTCTCGGGACTTGGCGATGGCTGTTGATTTTGTGTGGCAGGTGCTCAGATACAACGGTGATGGGCAGCACCATAAACCCCTCCGATAGACAGACCTACCGACCGAAACCTGAAGGCAGTCAAGAACTCGCCAAAGAGGGAGAAACGGACAGCGCTGCACCAGAATGGGCAGTGAGGAGGAGGCGAAGGGGTGACCCGGAATCTTTGGGGCTGGTGGGGTAGTTCTCCCCTTGTGAAGGATATTACGGGGGGCTCGGAGGGACACTGCGGGGGGGGGGGGGGGGTTATGTGGTAATGGTGCAGGGGATCCCAGAACTGACAGGACCAGCGCGGGGCTCGTGGAGGTGGGGCAGAGGACCCGAAGGGGGAAACCAGCCCAGGGAAATAGACAAGCAGGTGGGTGGGGGAGGATTTAGACCAGGATCCACCCAACTCCCTGGCTTGCACAGCACCCGGGGGCAGTCTGCACAAAGCAATAACTGTGGGTCCCCTCCCTTTCATCCTAGGTGCGCCCATCTCTCTCTCTCTCTTGATCGTTGTAGGTCCTGTGCCTATGAGTGGAGGATTGAGGGTGCTGGGCAGCTGATACCTTCTTGCGCCTCTGCAGGGATCTGGGAGGAGGCTGACTTGGAGCTGCTTTTGCTCTTCTTGCTGCCCTGGCTGTTGATGGAGTAATGCGACTGCAGCTTCCGGGGAGGCTTCTGCGAACCGGGCAGCGTGCCGAGGACACCGTTCCCCGCGCCTCTGTGGGCACTGCCCGGGTCCGGGACACGCCCGGCGCCGTTCTGCAGCAGAGGGGTGCAGTCCATGGGGCTGGACGGCTGGAGACTCCGCAAGGTTGTTCGGACCTGGGGCTGGACTGTGGGCAAAAGAGAGCAGGGGGTTAGAGGGGCTGCTCCCATCGGCAGAGAAAAGACTGGCCTTGGCTCACATGGCAGGCAGGGGATTTTATCGATGCTGGTGGACACAGAGCGGGTGGCCAGGCTGCTTTCTAAACCCAGGCGTGTGGGCCTCAGGCCTGTGTCTGTGGCGTTTCCAAAGCCAAGCTGGAGTGTTCACACTGCATTGTAGCCCTGGGTTGACAACTGGCCCCAGGTCTCACAGCAGCACTAACACATTCACACTGCACCACACAGACCTTCTGATGCGGGTCTATGGCTCAAGCTGTGTCCACACTGCAAAGTGGCAGGGCTCAGACCCGAGTCACCTTCCTGACATCTTAAGGCCCTGAGAGCTTGCTGACCCAGCAGACTGATTTGTGTGTAGACAGATGGGGCCTTGGGCTCAACCCTGAGGCAGAGCCTGGGTTTAGTGTGCAGTGTGGACAGACCTAGACAGTCTGTGGTTCTCACTGGCTCCCACCCCATTCCCTTGCCAGCACACTGGGCCTGGATCTACACTAGGGAGTTATTTCGGAATAACCCCCCTTTTTCGAAATAATAAGTGGTGCATCCACACGACCAAGCCCGTTATTTCAAAATAAGGGGCTGGTTATTTCGAAATCTGTCCTCCTGCTTTCCTCAGGGAATAATGCTAATTTTGAAATAGTTCGAAATAGTGGTCGTGTGGACGCTCCACTGCTGGCATTTTGACATAACTTCTCCCCAGAGTAATTCGAAGTAGTTACCCCTCCGTGTTTCCTGGGGCTCTAAGTCAAGGCAGCGCGTCCCCAATAATGGAGCCTGCCACGGACTCATTTCGAGGCCCCTCCTGGAGTGGGGGGACACTGTTGTTATTTCAGGAGTTATTATTTCGAATTTAGTTATTTTGGAATAATCTCCTGGTGTAGAAGTGCCCTTGATCTCCTCATGTCCTGACCTGGACTAAGCAGTGTGGGAAGGATGGGGGACTGCAGGAAAGAGAGGTTTAGCTCACAATCTCCAATATGCACATGCAGCCCTCAACAGTCTTGTATCCCCCATAATCCCATAAGGCAGTGGTGCTGCTGCACACGAGAAAATACCCAATAAGTCAACAGCGATAGCCAGAGAAACCGAGCAGGACAAGGCCGTAAGCTTTTCAGGGCAGGCGCATGGGGCAGCGGGAGTAAGAGGCAGCGGAAGGCATTGCCTTCCCATGGCCCCACCCACTCTCCCGTTCCCGTGGCCCCGCCCACTCTCCGCCCCCAGAACGCCTGCTGCATCCTAACCCCATCCTCCCAAGCGCCTGCAAGCCCTCGCAGCCGGGGTCATCCACAAATTTTAGAAGCGCGTGCTTCACTCCATTATCCAAGTCATTGATGAAAATACTGAATAGGGTCTTCCAGGCCCTATGGGAGACCTCACTAGATATCCCCTCCCAGTCTGACCGTGAACCACTGAGAACTACTCTCTGAGCATGGTCTTTCAACCAGCTGCATACCCACCTTATGGTAATTTCGGCTAGACTCCATTTCCCTTGTTTGCTTATGAAAATGTCATGTGAAACTGTGGGGAAAGCCTTACTAAAATCAAGGAACATCACCCTATTCCTTCCTCCCCGCCCACTAGGCCCTTTCAAAAGCCGGGTTTGGCATGATTTGTACTTGACAAAACCATGTTGGATATTCTCCATAACCTTTTATGGAGGGCAGTCAGCAAAGGCCATATCTAGACCATGAGGTTCTACCTCAGTGGTGAACCCCTCACCCCGACCACATTTTTCATCATTTGTCCCCCATGATCTGTTGAGTCCTGGGTCCAGTGGTCCCTTCTGCAAAGCTGGGGGAGGGACGTTTAGATGTGGGTGGGCTTGTACTCCCCCTCCCGGAAACAAATAGTGACAAAGGTTTGGGAGAAATGCAGAAGATGCCGATGTAGTAGAGCAAGGGGCATAGCTAGAGGAGATGGAATGGAAAACAAAGGGACGAGGGAGTGGAGTCCTGGGGTGGAAGAATGGCCTAGTGGTTAGACCGTTGTCTTGGGCTGAAGGAGGTCTGCTCTGTGTGACCTCAGGCAAGTCACTTAGTGTCTCTGCTTCAGTGTCTGCGAGGGGGGTTGCAGGGATAAACACAGCCAAAATGGCAATGCATTCAGTTACTATGGTGACGGGGCCCTAGAAGATATTCATGTCAACAGGAAGGGAAAGAAGAGAGTCCAACAGGCAGGCTCGACACCAAAGAGGCTGAGCTCACCTGAGAACCAGGTCCGTAGAAAGGATAAAAGCCTACTGCTGCTACCAAGTAAGGAAGTTACTCCTTTCCGGGAGGTGCTGTCCACTCCGCCTCGGCTCCATTTCTGGCAGTAAGATGGCTGGACCTTGGTGGGCCAGAAAGGGTCTAAATAACAACCTGGATATAACCTCTTCTGGGCTGAACCCCCCACGTGCCATCTTCAGCTCAGCCACAGGGCCATTTCCCAAACGAGGCTGACACTGCCATAGCCCGCGGTGGTCAGCTGGGGATCCGCAATTCCTCCCGGACACTGCCAGCATCAGGAGTTACGAGTTCCAATTGGAAAGCCTGGGGGGGTGGGGAGAGGGATCCCATCTACCTCCCCTTCTCTGCTCCCAGCAGACTGAAAGTCAGAAGAGTGCTTGAGAAGATGACGCCCTATAGGAACCAGGAGGGGGATTTCTCCAGACACATCAATGTCGTCATGAAAGGGATCCACGACTCCTGGGTGAAGGTTAAAGGGGAAGCAAACAGACCTCTGCTTTAGCTGCAAACTCCCTCTTGTCCTCTGCAGAAACAAGGCAGGCTGGGGCCAAATGGCTGCATATCTACACTTTACCTTGGCCGAGCAAAGGGATTTGGGGAATATTTTAATCCTACCTTCCCCTCACGCATGATTAGTCAGCCTGATCTGTGCCCCAGACGGGATTTGGCGTCCAGATCAGGAAGGGTTAACCAATCATCTCCCCCGCCCGCCACATAACCAAGTACATAAATCTCTGCCGGCTGTTGTCTGTGCCAAACTGTAAAACGTCTCTCTCTCTCTTTCGTCAGTAAACAAGCGATGAGTCAGCAGAAAGGCTCGAGGGCAAAGGCCTCGAGAGCCAAGCCGGGGAACAGTAGCCACATTCTGTTCGGGGAATCAGTGAGCCAGGGCCGAGAAGGGCCGGGCCTGCATCGCGCAAGACCTCCGCACACAAGGTGCTTCTGTCTCGCGCGGGCCGGGGTGCCAGGCCGCTTGCAGGCAAAAACAAAATCGACAGAGACAAGAAAACGGCGTCTTGTTTTCCTAGTAGGGCCGCGAGCTCTGCATGGGGCAGCCTGGTGATTTCTGCATCACTTTGCCGGTCGTTTTCACCCCCATTTCCAGTCATGTTTTCCCAGCATGCTCTGCGGTGGAACTTCCCACACAAACACCTTCCTTTAGGTTCCATTTGTTTTCGCTTTCCCCTTGCCTCTTTTATGTTCTAGGACATGCCTCAGGAATTAGTAACTCCCTGGGACATCCCTCCTATTCTGGTGTAGGGGGGGAGAGAGACACATCTGCTTTGCCTGGTGATTTGTAAGGACCTTCATCGGGGTGTAACAAGGCGGGTGGGGGAGAGGAGACCCGGCTGGAGGAAGTGGATTTGTGAGTGGGTGCATTGATTCCTTCCCTTCTTGAACTTGCTAGCTGAGATGGGGAAATGCTTGGCAAGGAAGAAGCAGGTTTTGCCAAGTTGTGTCTTTCTCCGCTCTCCCCAGAAAAGGGGAGGGGGGCAAAGTGAAAAAGAAGGAAGGGGATAGATAGAGGAGGAGTGCGAGGGGGATAAGAAAGGACCTTTGTCTCTTTGAGGTCTTCTGTGATTTTCACTGTCAATTTCGAGCCAGGAGGAGAAGCTCCTGAAAGTACATGAGCACCCAAGCACTGTTACAGGCTGGCCACCGACTGGCTAAGCAGCAGTTCTGCAGAAAAGGACCTGGAAATTACAGTGGATGAGAAGCTGGACATGAGTCAACAGTGTACCCTTGTAGCCAAGAAGGCTAATGGCATACTAGGGTGCATTAGTAGGAGTGTTGCCAGCAGATCTGGAGAAGTGATTATTCCCCTTTATTTGGCACTGGTGAGGCCACATCTGGAATATTGCGCTTAATACTGGGCCCTCTCACTACAGAAAGGATGTGGACGCACTGGAGAGAGTCCAGCGGAGGGCAACACAGAATGACTAGGGGGCTGGAGCACATCACTTATGAGGAGTGGCTGAGAGATTTGGGCTTATTTAGTCTGCAGAAGAGAAGAGTGAAGGGGGATTTGAGAGCAGCCTTCGACTCCTTGAAGGGGGGTTCCAAAGAGGATGGACAGAGGCTGTTCTCAGTGGTGAGGGATGGCAGAACAAGGAGCAATGGTCTCAAGTTGGAGTGGGGGAGGTCTAGGTTGGATATTAGGAAAAACTATTTCCCTAAGAGGGTGGGGAAGCACTGGGATGGCTTCCCAGGTGGGGGAGGGAGGGTTAGAATCTCCATCCCTAGAGGTTTTTAAGTCCTGGCTTGACAAAGCCTTGGCTGGGATGATTTAGTTGGATTGGTCTTGCTTTGGGCGGGGGCTGGACTCGATGACCTCAACATGCCCAGCAATGGAGCAGAGCAGGATCTGAACTTGCAGCTGCTTCTCCAACCAGGGAACCTTTGGATGTTCTCCCACTGCCACCCTAAAGGCCTGATCCTGTCCCCATTGGAGATCAGTGGAAGCAGGAACAGGCCCCAAAGTGGGAGGAAGGGGGGCACTTTGAAGAGGTTTAGGGTTCCAGGTTCCAGAAGGCTTGGTTACGCTCATTTCCTCTTGACGTTGTTGGGAGCTGAACGCATTTGGCTCTTCAGACAGTCAAACCCCTCCATGATGATCACCTATTGTCTGTATTATTGTAGCATCCCTGAGTCCCAGTCCTCGGCGCAGGACGCCTCCCCAGTGCAAGGGGCTGTACGAACACAGAACAACACTGCGTCACTGC